CTTTTCCCTTTAACGTTGTCCTTCACCTAGGATTGTTGTGATACACTACACTAACTTGCTATTGAGTTCGTCATTACAAGTTCAACTAACATATCTTAAGTTCTAAGACGTGATAAATTGCCGAGTTGATTCAAGTATAACTGGATACCTGTAGGACTTAGAGAAAATCCTAAGATCGAAAGCTCCAACGTGTAGAATTAACTGCCGCAGCCTTTCAACTTAGACGTTAAGATAAATGAAAATGAACCTGGTGACAATATATAATTTGGTCAAAGAATACTTATTAATTAAATATGTATTTATATAACTCGTTTCTATTAATAAGGCCAACTCCTTAGCAATTATGTTCTCTATTAACATTGTGAAAAAAAATTTATAAGGTTTATCATAATAATTATTATTAAAATATCTGACTTAATTATATGTAAGGTATGTTTCACTAAGTTCTATTACATCAAATGTAAGTTAATAAAAAATTCTATATGTTGTAATTTAGTATCTGAGAAACAGTTTCTAATATTATGCATGATAATGGAAAAAAATTTTGAATTATAATTAAATATAAAAATAGATGCATTTGAATTATAATTATTATTATTAGTAAGATATGACAAAGTCATTCCTACTATATTATATTTTTTATTGTTATTAATCATTTAGAGTTATTAGTCATAGGTATTAATTAAGTGATTATAGAAATAACTGATTGAAGTGAGGGTCAAAAGTATATACATTTTCTGTATTTGATTAACATGAGCTAAAAGAATATTACTGTCATGTGATTAAATTGAGATATCTTCATTACTATCTATATCCATAGATATTATATTTGAGACTGGAATTTTTTAAGGTGAAGGGTTGAATTATTAGTTTGAGATATCTTAATATTCTGCTTTTCAGTAGTAACTATTTCTTCAATATTATCATCTGGGATTTCTGTAAAAAATTCAAGTTTGAAGAGATAATAATCAATGTCTCCTTGATTATGTTTTTGAATCATGACTTCTTTCTTAATATCGTTAACAGGTCAAAAAGTATTTTGAATTTATTTTTGAGTTCTTTAACTTTTCTTATTAATATAGGAATAGTTTCACTAATGTCTGAAGAGTATTATTGGATGATGATTTGCTATTAGTCAGTGATTTAGAATAAGCAGTTTCAGTGTATAACATGTTACTTTGAGTATTAATTGACATTTGAAGGTAAAATGATCTATATTATTTTGGTTTAAAATGCTTATATAAGAGGTTGTATAGATTAGTGGAGTTTTTTTTACAATAGTCTTTGAATTTATGATCTGGGAATCCATATTTTCTACAATGCTTATTTGCAGGATCTATCCAGTAAAGAACATTTTCTTTAAATTTTGATGTTAGGCAGCTGCAGCGTCTAAGTCTTCAATAGTAACAAAATTAATAAAAGCATAAAATTTTAATCAGTATTATTAATCTCTAGAAATAAAATATGATTTAGCTTTTATTTGAACTAAGAAGTCTTATAAAGAGCATTGATTAGTATTTAATAATAAGTTTGTAAGTTTGAGTTCAAATTGTTATCGCAGTGTAGTTTGCATGATGTCAAGATTGGTAAGTTCTACTCTTAAAATGAATTTCAAAAAGAAATAGACCAAGTATTATTATAAAACTGTTTGATGGTAGCATTGTTTTATAAACAATGAAAGTGATCTGCCAGAATCCTCTAACAATTAAGGAAAAATGAGTGATCATTTTAAATTTAACAAAAAAATTTTGTATTACTTCAGATTTAAAAAAAAATGATATTTGATACTTTGATAGTATGACTATTTTCTGCATCTATTTTGAATTATTTGGCATTAGAATCAGTAATCAAGAAAATTAGATTATATTGTGTCTCCTGCATTTTTATGATAGTATGTGTAAGGTTTTTTAAATTGTCAAAATAGATGATAAATTTTCTGTTTTTGAAAAGATAGTTAGATCCTTAGAAGTCATTAAAGTAGATGAAAAGTGTATTAATAAAATTGCATTTTTCAGCTATTGATTTTCCTTTATATCTAATGTATTATCAGTGACGTAAAATTGAGTAGATGCAATAATTATATTAAATTATTGATCATTCACGTTTTTATTCCTAGAGGTAGAAGCTTCAGCTTTGTTCATTTCATCTGATCAAGTTTGTTTATTTTTACCTTTAGAGATAGAAGAAGTACTTGCTAATTTGATTCACTAATATTGTTTATTTGTTTTGCATGCATAGAATCTTTTGCTGTTTGAAGGGAAATAAGTTGAATTATTTCTGTAATATTTGAGGTTGAAAGAACAATGTTATCTATTTTTATGTTTAAAGTTTTAGTTGTATTTTCGTTAATAATATTAGGAGGTATTTGGTTAATATTATCAGTAGTTAAGATAATGTTTTCAATAACTTTGTTAATAATTTTTGAAGAAGAAATTTTTATATTTTCTGTAGTAAATTTTTGTTTTTTGTTATTTGTCAAAGAAGTATCTAATAAAGTTTGTTTGTTTGACTTTAAAATGGAATTTATAGACTGTTCGTTATTATTTCTTTATACTACAGACCCTGGCAAAAGTAATAGCACTTAGTTTTTTAATAATTTGTACACAATTTTATAATAAAAAATCAAAAAAATTTTATTTTCTGAAAGACCGACCAAAATTACATATATTTTATTAATTAAT